GTCTTTTGAGGAATCTCCACACTGAACAACAGGCCAACTCTTGAGTTGTTTTTTGAAGAGCCTGATTCATCGACAAAGTCATTAGAGTAATTTCTATCACTGATGATGTAATATTTTTTCCTAATTTAGTAAGAATCCAATTTACAAAATACATTTGGAATTCTTTGTCTCTTAGTATTACATCAAAATTGATTGTAACAACTCAGTTTAGAGTAACCTAGAGGGCAAAAAAGAGTGGCCCATTTTCTTTCCAAAGCCTCATTTTTCCATGTAAGTTAAACTAAAATTTAAGATGTAGCAGAACGTGTGATTCAACTCCCTTAAAATTTTACCACAAGTTATTGCTTTTGTTCAGGTTATATTTTACTATGATTCTTAATACACAGCCATCATAGATAAAGTAACAAAGTGTACAGGATTAAGTCTCAGATTTTCAGTAGCTATATATCAAAGCTACAATAAATGTGGTAGGTCATAAACTTATATAATTTATACTTTTAATTTAAAATTTTACATACTACACTGAAACATGTCTTAAAGTTACAAATAAAGTATAAATGCTCTGCCAGTAGGCAGAGTTCCAATAGGGAATGATTCCAAGGAAATGAAGAGTCCAGATCATTACCTTCAACCGATGCAAAGATTTTTGTGCTCCTGGCCTCACTCTAACATCTTGTTCTGACATCTTCGAGCTAATTTATATTAGATTAATGAACAAACCTGTAATCTTACATACACAATTTGATTTTTTAAAAACTGACAGAGTGGTACAATACCATTTGCCATTAAAAAGGGGGAGTAATCAAAGTCCAATTAAAATGTCCTTGAGATAGTTATCTGAAATGTAGCTGATCCTAATTTCTCATTTTACAAATGCAATAAGGGCACACACACACACAAACCATTAAAACCCATAGGACCAGAAACTGGAACTGACAGTAAGCCTCTTGCCATTTCTTGGAGAAGTTTCCATTAACTAAGAAGGTGATGGTACTGGATAGAAAAAGAAATTAACAGGCCTGAAAAAGAGGTCCAACACCCCTTGTTCTTCTGCCAAATCTATTTATTCATGATCTGTACTACCCAATCCAATACCTTACTTCTACAGGAACAAATGCTGCCCTAGCGCCCTCACGCTTTTCCTCTTATTTTATATATGTATATACTCAGAAACTGCCACTCAAAAAAAAAAAAAAAAAGAACAGAATTAAAGGAGGGAGTGGTAGTGGGCTGACTCTATGTTCTCTTAACCCACATCTCATGTTTTTAGATGCCTTCTATGGCTAACTGGAAATGAAGTGTTGGTTTCTCACAATTTCAAACTCATTTGAGGGTGTCATGTTTCTTCGGGACTTTGTCTCTAACCCAGTCTCTGAGCATCATACAAATCTTGGTTCGACAAACTCAATTTTCATCCTCCCTCCTGCACTTTGAACGCAGGTGAACACAGTCGTGGTGCTCATAGCTGACCCCTTCAGCTTTCCCCTGTGCATCTTCCACACCCTGTGGTGCTCATTTCGGGTCTCTGTCCTAGTTTAAGCAACCCCCCAGCACCCACTCAGCTGTTTGCTTTCCCAGCATGTCAGCCTTGGACCCACTAGGGTACTTCAGCCTCTGAACTTGTCACCAAGTGACAAAATGTTGATTTGTGAAATAACGAGGGCATGCCCTGGGAAACTGGCATTCAAGGTTAGGATTCCGTAAATTTTTACATCCTGACTTCAAATACTCATCGTCCTACCAAAGAAATGATTTTCAAACCTTAATCATCCCATCAAAGTAATGTTTTCTAAGTTGTTTATAATTTTCTTGTTTATATTTTTGTTCCTTTAACTTGTTACCAAAATGTCGAAGTGAGGTGCACTGAATTTGACATTCCTCTTACTCTGGGTCTCTGTAGTAGAGCTAACTGCGTTTAACTAGTAGTGGTGTGTGTGACCCCCACAGCTGGCTACGTCAGGGTATCAAACAGCTTCCACTACCCTCAGCACATCACTCGATGCCCCTTGCTACCTAGTAGTATAAAGAGATTCATTAAATATTGAAGGAGTGTCCCATGCCCAAATGGGATGAAACTGGCTTGGCCAAAACTAATGTGGCTACCAGTTTACATCAAGATCCACCCTAACATCTCTTGCAATCACTTGCAGGGCCTAATTGGATCTAAAAAGACCAGTATGAATCCTTCTTCCTATAGGTAAATGCCCTGCAAGGACCTTAATTCAAATCATGCCTCTAATACTCGTTAGCTTTGTGACCTTGGGTAATACTATAAAAAATACCTTTTAATTCAAAAGATTTCTTTTCCATAGGAAAGAACTTAAAGGAAATGTACTTAAAGGTGTTTGGCGTGGTGACTAGGATATCCCTGGTACTTGATACTGCAACTGGAAATCAGGTCCCCTGATTCTACTCACACTGTGAGGAACCCTGTGAGTATGTAGGTCTGGAGAAAACAGATGGATAATGAGTGTCTCATTACATTGCCATGTTCTGATGCTCCCCAGAGTTGTACAGAGCAAAAGACCCCCTCCCCCATCTCAATGAAAGCTAAATTGCTGCTTTATAATTATTTCAGTCAGGCTAGACTTGACATACTATATTTAATAACTGATGCGCTTTTTCCACTACCAACCTAACACTCCGCTTAATACTAATAACCTGATTTTGCTAAATGCAGGCGCATAGTAACACGCATTCGCTTGTTTCGCACATCAAAAAATTCATTTGCTACTTTTTCATTAATCAGGTTATGCTTGTTTTTCATGTCTAAAATGAGCCAACCCAGCAGTGCTTTATCATAATCTTTCAAAACATGATCACATGATTGTTTTGATTTTTGTAATTTTCATCAATAACTGAATTTTCTAATGTTGTTTAACTCACAGACTGCAAAGAAAAGATAAAATGTTCAATTACTGGAAGTAATTGGCAAAGACAAAATTGCATGTTAATATTATTCAAAGCCAGGGAAAAAATAGGTACTTATCAGAGTACCTAAGGCAACAGGACATAAAAAAAATTACAGGTAGTAAATACTGCTCTCAAGCACACACAGAAATTGGGAAGAAGTTCTTGGGTTCTACTCATTTGGTTTAGGGGAGAGTCACTTTACTCTTGGATGCCTCAGTTTCCCCACTTGTGAAATGACAATCTAGAATAAGGCCTCCCGGCAACAGGGCGTCTGAAGTTCTGTCTTACCCTGATTTCAAGGGGAAGAAAAATAGGCATGAAGCCAAATCTCACCCAAAGCCTCTGCAACACAATTACCTCCTCTGTGGAGAATAGTATTTAAATACAGACTAAAGATAAAGAATTTTGCTTGGGTCATTTCTTGCCCTGAATTGGAGTTTTTCATAATGTATTTATAGAGGTTCCTAATGACTATAATTAACAGATCTGTCAAATTTCAGGATCAGCTAAACTTTCAAAGCAGAAGCAACGCACTACAAGGTGATACACTAACGTAAAAAGGGAGCAGAATTAAGGTTCTCTGTTCAAATTCCTTGAGGATCATCATAGTGCACAACGAAAATTACTACAGGACTGGGGAAAAATGAAAATAGCTGCTCTGCTTCTCAAAAAAGCTTAATCTTAAGGACAACACAATTGGTGAAAATAACAGTTTTCCAGAAAATGACTTTTTCCACTGAATAATCCATCAAACAAAACAGGTAGGAACTAAAGGACTCAATACTGGGTATTGGTTTTAATTTAAGTTATGTGTGGACTGATTACTTAAAATAGTGAAGAAGAGAATTAGCAAAAACATAGGGCCATTCCACAGTATCTCAATAGTAAATGAGTACTGGGAGAAAGGGTCTTGCATTACAAATGTATTACGACCGCATACAATGTTGGCTTTCACTCATCTTTGTGTGTGTGTGTGTTTGCTCTGTGCCTGTGATTCAGTTTTTTTCTAATACAGGAATTCTCTACTTTAAGGGAGCACAAACAGAGAAATACAGCCCTTTGTGAATTGAGGTGTATTAAAGAAACCAGGATCAGATGAAAAGACAGATGTCTTCTAGAGCCAAGAGGGAATGGAGATCAGAGTTAAAATTGTATTAAATTCCAGTGATTAAGATGTTATAGGTTAGATTTCTTCATTAACTGGAACTTTTCTAGTAAAGTATATAGGGTTATAGAGTCAGAACTTAGCTAGTAAAGATAAAATATACACACATTTATAACATTTAAAACTGGCGACAAGCATATAGACTTGAGAAGAAGGAATCGTGAGGTACTATAAGTTTTCTGGGCAGAATTTCATAGATTCTTATTTCTTGAATATATTGTAATGCTCTATTCCAATAAAAAATATTTTTTGCTGTGAACACTTAATGATAATATTCTCATTCAACAGAAATAGCATTATTCTCTCCTATTTTAGATCATCTATGTTCTTGCAAAGCTTGATCCACTGCATTTACATGATCCAGGTCCAGGTGTGAGAGTTAAATGGCCACGCATTTAAGCCTCCTGTGGAAATAACAGTGGCTTTCTAGATTCAAGACTGTGACTCCGCCCTTCATCCTAAATGTGTGCCTCTGGGGCAGCCCTCCCCTCCCCTTGGCTATAATATGAGAATAAAGTCTACCTTGTTTACATAGCAGAGAAAATGCTGTGAACCATGAGTACACAAGGCAGGGTAATTCCTTTGATAGAAACATTTCAAATATTTTATTTGAACATTATCTCTGAACTTACCATGTGTGTTAACGATAACATTGCCAAATTTCTCCTTAGCTTATTGATCAGAATCTCTCTAGGAGCTCATCCAAGGCTTTGGTGTGATCTAGATTCTTTTAGGCATCTCTGGTTTATCTAATTACAGAAAGTAGAAGCAGCATCTTGCTTCTGTCCAAGCCTACACAGGCCTGAGTTCTGGTCTCATATCTATCCCTGACTATGTAATTAAACTCTCAGGGCCTCAGTTCACCTATTAATTTCA